AACTTCAGAGAGGAAGTTGAACTCTTTCTCAGCGGACAAAGTCAGGACACGAATGTCAGTTTGATCCCAACTGGAGGCCTGATCAATTGCCCACTTCACTGTGCCTAGCAGACACAGAGCGCAATCTGCGGGCATTTGAGGATCCAGGCAAATTACCAAGACAACTCCCAATGGGAGTGCTTGACCCTTTTTCCAGGGGGGCTTTTGTGCAGTGACCCATTGGCCCTTGTTCTTCCCCTTCTTGGAGGCTCTGAGGGCATCGAGGAGCTCAGAAAACGTCAATATCACCGGAGCGACCTTGCCGTCATCCTTCACTCCGATCCCCAAGTCCTTTTCTATGGCAGAGACAACAAATATCATTTCAGCCTTGAAGCGGTTCGCATTCATGGATATTTGTCGTACTGACTCCAACAGACTCACCTTACCAAGACGGTAAGGAGGTATCTGGATGTGGCCGAAGCGCACCTTGCCTCCCTCCTCATCGTCAGAGTCGTCAGAGTCGTTGTTCGACTCGACGACCTCCATGATGGGCTTGAGGAACTTTTCAAGCTCTGAGAGCACAGTTGTAGACATTTTTTCTGCATAAAGCTGTTAATAAGGGACCGCGAGTTGATGTTTTGTTACATACAGAATTCTGCTTTTGGTGGTGGTTGTTGTGGAAGTTGTGGGTTGGAATGAAATGATGAAGACCGATGCAAGAGGGGTCAACACGAGCCGCTAAATCGTCGGTTAATTAGGCGGTAGACTTTCTTACTGTGCTAAAATGCCGTTCGTCCTGATCGTGCCACCGTCAGAGCATGCAGGTTACTAGCACTGTCCAGTCACTTGCCCCGGCTGCCAAATCGAGTTTTCACTTGCTATAGCACATATAATTATATCACATTCATCTAGTGAGATCATTCGAATGCCGAGATAAACATATAAGGACGAAACAACAGCTATCACCAAGTAGGCACTCATTGTTACGGGAATGGTCGACATGCCCATCAGTCAATTTCAAGCTTGTTCCATTCAATAATATCTCCCGTTGCATAAAATAACATCTTCGTTCAAGAACCAACGTTATGAGCAACAAATACGACCTACACGCTCATCCGGTACCCCAAGGTCCCACAGCCTCCCACAGAGACACCACCAACCAAGTATCTTACCGAGAAACACGACGAATGTTCTCAATACAACTCAGACAGACGTCCTCGACGCTATCTCGTCTGCCCGTGGGAATCGTATCCTCGCTTTCCAAGGACATTGTTTGTCGAAAAGAAGTGCAGTCCAAATTGCGTCCGGGGACAGTGGATCCCAAGGGTCCACGGGGGATTAGCGTCTGATCATATTACTTCTTTGAGACACGACATCGCTGATGATTGGTTGACGTTGGAACCTTAACTTTGGCACTTGGAAGGCGCGTTGATGTAGAGAGCACGTTTCGGGAGTTCGAGACCGGGGTCATATAGTGGGAGATACAAGGCAACCTGTCGTAAACAGCTGGAAGAAATACTTCGGCAATTGAATCACTTCTTGGACTGTAGGACAGTGAGGAGCAAAGGCGGCCGTACGAGCATCGTTGTAGACAGGACCCGGGATCGAGGGTTTCGTACATTGCCAGCTGAATGACAAGATTTCCGAGACGAGAGGCGATATCGAATGAGCTTTGAGCTTTTTGGATTGCTGCTGGTCCGACTTGAAGATGCGGTTCGATTACTGGTGCTTGAGGCCTCTGCTAGAAACTGTTCCAGTTCCGGTTAGCAACCGTTTCAAAAGGCAGGATGTCGCGTCAGCGCTCACAAACAATTGCGATAGATCGCAGCTGTGAGTACTAGAAGGATGTCAATTGCTAGGTGAGTCAAAAACGAGGAATTCAGGTTCTGTGGTGCTGCATATCGAAATGTGGAGGAAGCCGACGTGACAATGGGGAGGATAGCTACGGAGCCGAGTCCATCGCGAGATGGTTGTTGGAGGGATGGATGATGGCAGCGAAGAGGAAAATGCCATAACTGTGGAGTTATAGTGGATTTAGTGGACGAGTCGCCTGGAAGGACAGGCGGGGTTGCTGGGTTCTTTAATGGCGGCTAAAGGAGCCTGAACCCAATACGTCACCACCAATTGAGCTGAAAAGGCCAAATCTCACCTGCAGCTCCTGATTTCAAGGGTGGACTCTTACTGATTTTAGTTCTATTCAATCCACGTGTCGTGACTGATCTTGTCTTATCAGTTATTTTGTACCCTTGAGACACTTATTGCGAGCACGACGTTATAACATGTGCTTCGCCTGAATGTTGTGCCAACACCACCTTGTCCGAGGAGTCTTGGGCAAAGGATTTTAGAGCTAAAGAACATCCTATCTCAACTTGTAACTCTACAAGGCGAGCTAGGTGACGAGACTGGTCGGCTTGACACATTCGGGGCCCTCGGGAAGGATATAAAGCCGATTTTAGAAACGATAGAGAGCACCCAGCAGCATCAGCAAGCGATTTCAGATCCAAACATCATACTGAAGGAAACTGATGAGAGATTGACAAAGCCACACATAACGGGTCAGGGGTTTACGAGCAAGCTTTCCCATATTTATTATCAATTGGCCGAGGTCTTTAAAGATCTGTCTACCACTCCAGGGGCAGCGGCTCCGTTGAAATGCACCGCGTTGTCACCAAGATCACCCCTTTGCTGTTGATTCCAGGGGTAAAGGACAAATTGGAGGCGTTCCTAGAGCCACAAACCAGAGACTCACTGCTTCGAGCAGGTTATTGCTCTTGATCCATCGGGTGGACGTATAGTAGACAACTCATGCTCATATCATCCGACAGGGTTTGTTTGGGTATGTGTAGCGATTGTACGATCTCGAGATGCTCTCAACTTTCATGTGAGATAAGAAGTTCATCCAATATTTAACCATAAATCGATAACTATAATGATAATATTGTCCCCCACTCCTCTTCAATGTTAGCAACCGTGATCTCTCAACCTCACACAGCAGTAAAACCGCCTAGAACGTGACGATGTTCCTAGAGTCAAGCCAGCCGCAGATCCAGTGACATTGTTTCATGAAAACCATCCCATGTAAGCTGTGATCGGGGTCCTCGAACATACCACAACAAACCATGTCAAAAATTCCATTGCTGGGCTCACAAACGAGCAAAGTACTGGCCATCTCATCCAATAACTCTCCGTACTCCTAAGGAGAGGAGTACAAGCTACCTGATCTCAGTTGTAAAACAAGCCTGCGCTAGACGTCAAACCGAAGATCAACGCCAAATAAAGTGGGTTCCAAAAGAATAACAAGCCCCAGCGCACAGATTGACCGTTCAAGCCATTTCCATCCTCCTCAACCACTCTCTTTATTGATTCTACGAAACACCACATTCATTATACTCTCGAGACCATACAAAATGAGTGAACCACGAGGATCGAAGCGCGTCTACCCTCATCAGGGTCAGAAGGAATCGACCAGAACAAAGAAAAGGCCAGAAACGAGGGCAAAAATACCGATCAGCGAGTCCGCGCGCGCCATCGCTAGAAGCTGCCTCGAGGCGCGTCGCCCGATAGTCAGGAAAGATTTGGAAGACACATTTCGACCCGTGGACTTTGCGAATGAGAAGCCAGAGATTGAAGGGCCGGCCATGAAGCTGTATGATGCCTCGCATGAGAAGGAGGATTATGATGAATTCAACCCAGAAGTGAATTCGCCTGTGGTGAAAGATTTCAAAGCATTATGGAAAGTCGGCTTGCGCCTTTGGGGGGTCTCGCCTACCACTGTGATCTCTCCGATGGTCGGTCTGAGATACTTTCCGTTATCGAGTGGCCGCAAGAGGGCAAACCACGCAGTACTTTCGCCCGATTTCAGCAAGCTGTTTGCGGCACTTATCACGCATCCGTGCTGGGAGTTTGAGCATGAACGATTCGTCCTGGCCCTCCAATACTTGGTCAGATGTCGAGGAGACAGCCGCAGTCCTTGGCCACATCAAGGGGCGAAGGAACGCGAATGTCCTGCTATCGAGGCCCTTTTCAACATGTTTGATGAAACTGGCTACGGGGATAGAAGCCTGCACGAAATGCACAAGTCTGCGCGCGAGAGCATTGTTGGGGGCAACATCTCGGTCTTCTCGGACTTCCTTTACTCCATTGGTGAACGTGTGACAAAACATGATATGGACCAAGAACAGGCCTATTATGATATGCCTGCATTACCTGTCACTCTCGGAGACATGAAGTCTCTCACTGATGCGGTGAAAAGCTTCGAGTGGCCTGATGAGAGCTGGAGGTGTAGTCCCGGGGACACATATACTGCGTTCAAAGCTGAGAGGACATCGGGGAAGACTGATCTTCCAACTACCGGGACAGAGCTGAAGGAGTTTCTTGACCGAAGTCTCAAGGACATCTTTCGGGACATTGAGATTTACAGACAAGAGGCTGGTTCTGAGCGCAGCTCCCCTGTCTACCAGGCAGACAAGGAAGATGTGTTGGTTGACAACGCAGCAGATGCGGATGCGTGTCAGCTTCCAGGTCCTGAAACAACTGCTGACCAAGAGATGGGTGTTCCTGAAGACGACCAACACGTGCCGCCTGAGTCCAATCCTGTCCGCCCACAACGCAGATATCGGGCGTTAGTCGATGGAGAGGAATCAGAAGACGAACAAGCCGATTTAGCAAGAAGTCAGGGCAATAGAGAAACTGCCGCAAGGTCGTCACCACACTCTAGGTACTCTTGGGGCGATAGGAATCTCTCGGCGACACACGTTGAATCACCTTATGAGCGATTCGAGATCCCGAGACGAGAGGCTTGGCGTCCCTCCCCTCAGCAGGCAACCCCGGGTCCATCAGGGTCAACGATGAGTCAAGTTCACCCTCGACCCATTGATTCGTTGCTTGAGAGGCGTGTCCATGGCCTCGAGAAAGGCCAGCAGCGGCTTGAGTCCAGTTTCAAGGAAATGATCGCCTCTCATTCACGAGACATCAATGAACTTCGGCATGAGATGAAGCAGTCGCGAACCCATACCATACAGCGATACAGTGGCGGTGTGTCGGGGGCTGTGGGGATAGAGCATTCCGATACTGGTCAGAAGATCCGCGATCTTGAGTCACAGCTTGCCCAGGCAGCCAGGGACAAGGAGGAACTTTCAGAGAAGGTTGCGTCAAGCGAGCAAGAGAATGAACGTCTGTCAGCCCAGATCTCTGGCTTGTACAGGGATAATAAAGGAATGTCAGAAAAGATCGGCTGTTACGAGCTTCGGATTCGGAGTCTGTCTAGGCAACTTGCCGAAAAAGGCGAAATCAACAGAGTTGACAGGGACCGCTTGTCAGAACAACTTGTCGCCAGGGACAAGGCTATTACCTCTGGGTCGAGAGGACATCAGCCCTCGGGACTGATTTGATGGAATCGAAAGCTACTCAGGGCAATATATATCCAGGCGCTGAGGACGAGGTGAATGAGCCTTTTAATCTTGACTACACAGCGTATCCTGACGGAAATATGGATAACATTGAGTTATTCCAACTACCCGCCACAACAACGCGTTGGGCTAGTTCTAGTGGGAGGTGGATGGTTTATACGGACAAAGCTGGCTGCCTGCTGGCTCGTAATTCAAACAGTCAGCATGCCACTGATGTGGAGGAGATTTCAGAACGACTATATTCACAGTAGATTACTACATGGTTACTTTCCTTCAATTCCAACGATTCCCTCACAACCCATAACATATTAAACTTTCTAAATGTGGTATACTTGATTACAGGTAGAGTAGCCCAGAGGCCTTGCCCTCGGCTTCGGATCAATGTGAAATATGATGACAATCTCCAGCGGCAGCCGGTCATTCCTCCATCCCGCCACATTCGTACCTACTCGCCAGGTTGTCGGGGTGTGCTCCTTGTTGCCAAGGTCGAAGTTGCTGTGATTATCCTTCAAAAGGTTACCATATGTCGTAGCCTTGATACTGGTGTCATCCGGGAATGAAGATCTAAGCCCACCTCAAGTTCCATGTCTGGAACAACATATATAATATAAGAGATGTTACTCTTCTGAAAACATTTGCTGGACTCCCTCTGCGATGCTAATCTCGAGGCTGTATGAGGGGACCTTGATGTGAGCAACTTGAGCTCTCGGCCGACCGCGTGTGGCATTCGACCTTTTGTGGAAATCGACAAAGAAGTCGGCAAAGGCATCACTGATATGGTCGATGTGAGACCACATGATGGATCTGGTGAAATGAGGTTAGATTTGACTACGTTCTTTGTGATGAGACTTACCCTCTAGGTTCTCTCTGCTGGAANNTCGATACCACGATGACTGACTAATAGCTACAGCATAAAGCTAATATGATAATAACCTAAATTATGACTCCTTGGCCGGCCTTGAAGGCGTATAAAAGTTGCCTCTAATCCCTTGGCCAAGAAAGGTTAGCTTAATACCATAAACACCCCGGATCTTTAAAATGGCGGCTCCAATAAGAGAAGTCTTTTATTAACATCAACCTAACTAAATGCCGGATGTTAACGACTACACTAATAGAGCTGTAGTCATACCCCAGGCTGCATTAGCGCACAGGGAGACCCTGCAAAACGACCGCAGCTGCACAAGACTCGATTTGTACAGCAGCTCACAGTGGATTCCCCGCAGGGGTCATCCTAGTTGCCCGGCAAGAGAAGAAGGCACTATCCAGGCTGTTGGAATTAGACAAGGCGACCCGAGAAGCAGCTGTACAGTCGATCCGGCAAAATCAAGCTTGGATTATGTCCGTGTACGACGTGTGGATGGCGATTCGCTGAGGGGAACTTCCTGCAGGTATGGCGCACAATCAGAATTGTCGAGAAATGCTAACGCACGAGAAAAGCTTAACCTAAAGAAAGTTTCGTAATAACACATATATCGGTGCTACTAGGGCTAAGATAAAGGTTAGACTGGAGAAGGTTTGGGGTAATTGGAAGGTGGTGGCGGTATTGAGTTTATAAGTCAGTAATGAAGTTCTAGAGAAAATACACTTCTGGTTCACTTCGGGTTTAACACAACGGGAGACTTACCCTCTTTCGGGTGGTTGTACGGAGCTGTGTGCCATGACTACGACGGGGTCTGCGGTTGAAGTCTGCAAGCAGTAGAGTCTGCACCGTGCAGTACCGCCATCGGTCGAGGGCCTATCAGGGCCAGTTGGCAGGAAGCCATCCCCGCGCTGAGCAATACACGCGCCATAGAGTGAGCGAACATATGTGTGACTGCAGTGTATGGCTTTGTTCGCGGAAGGGCGAATGTGTCGCCGGGAGGGATTGTTTAGAGGGCTTCCGGGATCGGAAGACGTGCCCAAGAACTCAGCGACCTTGCAGTTCAGTTTATACAATAATAATGCTCTCATGAACCGCTTCAGCTCCATCGTTGTAAGACTGTCTAGATTAAAGCTCGGGGTGATGGGCTGACTACGAAAGTATAGCTGAGTTGTTGGTGATGGTAACTGCACGCCTTGTAAATAAATGTACTCTCGCGGCATGTAAGACGCTGTAGCCTTGATGCAGTAATCTTGTATGAAATGAAGCAGCATACTATGGAGGTCATCCAGATGTTCGAACATATAGTCATCCTGCTTTGGACAAGAAAACCAGGAGCGCCTGACTCCTGCATAGCGCGCATTGCAAACTCGCGGATGTCGGAAGGATCGCTGGCCACGCCGGCAAAGCCACCGGGGATGGGGGTGGCGGTGAAGTTGGTCTGGTTGGCAGACATGGTAGCGGTAGTGGATTGATTGATTGTTTGTTTGTATGTGAGAAAAAAGAACAACCGGCGGAGGCGATTGCGTTGATGGTGACTGAGGAGAAAGGAAAGTCGAGGAGAGAGGGAGGGCGAAAAGGGTTATGTACCCCCTCAGGCATACATTGCAGCTTTCTGTTGTGGTCCTACTGAATCAGAGTGACTAAGGGGTTATCCTTCATCGGCAGTGTGGTGCTTGGCACTGGCAGCTTATACATCCTGCATGGTAAGAGGGCTGACAAAGTTCTTGTCTAGCCAGCGCTTTAAGTGATCTCGAACATGGAGCAGCTTGTGCTCTCGAACACCTCGTTCTCTCAGGAACTGGATGATCGCTAGAGCATCTTGAACCATTCCCTCATAAGGTCAATCGAGATGATGTTCAGTCGGTTTCTTTCGCTGCGTTTGGTACTATCGCAGCATCGTCAGCGATGCTCGGGTGATGGATGCTAGGGAGAACTTGGAGGTGATCGAAAACAGGATCTTGAGACGGATCTCCGGGGGTAGAGAGTTGAAGGGATCCATGGTTCTGTCAAAGGTTAGCGAGACTGGACTCAAGATGTGATCTTTTGTACTCGACTAGACGTGAGGTGGTGAAGTTGATAGCGAAAGTTTGGAGTTGGTGTGAAGGACAGGCGGCTTTTGTGGTAGGGTGGCGCTCTCGTTGCCAGTCGAAGGTTCAGGCAATTAATCACTCACGTTGGAAGTCCTTGTTTTCGTGTAGAATTCTAGGAGCGCTGCTTACACCTTGTTCAAGAACCAGTGAAGTCTTTGTCTAACGCTGCGAGCGGCCGCAGTGAGTGCCCATCGTCATCGCCTGGAGGCTTCTGATGGTTATATAATACAATTTCTTTTATATGCTGTAAGGATAGCGATACTGAGGCTTCTCATTCTCAAGTTAGATGTTGAGTCTCGGGGCTCTATTCAAGGGGTATTTTTCTTACGCAAAAGTCTTTTCATGGTCGACTTCTTGTATTTGACGACATCGGTTTGCAAGACATAGAGGAAGGCCCCAGGAAAGAGTCGCCTTCGTCGGTGGTTGAGGTTGTATATCTATTGGGGCGCGCATAATATAGGAATCGTCTCGTTTAAAAGTCAGGGGTGCTCCGTTTCTGGGCTTGTGTTCGACCCCTGATGCTTTTGAGATTTATAATAAGCTTTGGTGCTACAAGGAGTTGTCGTCCTCCGGTGACTTTACCTAGTTGAGGAACGGAGCAGCTCCAGGGTTGCAAAGGAGGTGAACGTAGATACGTCTTAAGACAACGAGGAGACAGGCGAGACCAGGGCTGGCGGCGACATCCTTTGAGCTGGGAGGTCATCTATCAATGACGGCGAGGGCAGTTCGTCTCAATATAGCGATGGGGATCGCAACCCCGTGTAAGTCTTGAGTCGTATAGCTAATGCTTACTTCCCAAGTTAGTTACTGAAGTCTGACGGACACGGCAGGTGGAAGACGCAGTTACCTTAATGCTTGAGCTATGCGTTGTGGTTGCTCGACTGGAGGATCATTGAGGTATCATTGCCTCACGTATGACTGTATACAGTGTGCGGCTGACAACTTCAGCATTGTGACGGTATCATGAAGAGCGCTTTATGGGGTCTGGGTGGAGTCAGGGCCCTCTCGGATAATATATAAGGTGCAGAGATCAAGTATATATGACAGACTATCGTCTCTGAAGGTGTAGAGAGAAGAGGTGAGTGCTGAGTGATGGAAGAGTTGGCGGAGGGATGAACATGAGATTTTATAGCATGAATCACATGACCTTTGCATCGTGCTGTTGAGAAGGTTTTCAACCAAAGGCCAGGCGCCGGCAGCTTGCTGCGACAAAGGCGCAATTGAATGCGGTCAAACCTTTTTGTCATTCATTTCCAAGCAATTGCCATGTTTTACCAAAACGCCAACAAAGACAATCATCTTCAGCTTCTTGGCAAACATTGTCTTTGTTTTGGTGCAACAACAGCAAACAGAACGTCTCCGTGCTCAGCATTACGGCGCCGAACTTTTGATTCATGCTCCTCCGATGTTACTCACTGATGTAAATCTCTCTGCGAAGCGCGCCTTGGCATGTCCACACCTTCGTTTGCGGTCCCCTCCGCCAAGCAGTGAGGACGCCTGGTTTCTCACAGCTCAACACATGGCCATCCCTGTGGTCGGAACCGATACCTGTGGCGACTGCCGCTGAATAAGTCGAGAAGGGCTTTCAAAGCAGGGGTGTTGGGATATTGTCTTTCGGCCACACCAGGAGATGCCTCCTTGATCGTAGTTGCGAATAGGCATCTCGGGTTTCCACCTTGTCGATGAAGGTTGTGTTTGAGACGGGCGAGACGCCATTGCCGTGGCTGAGACAAGGTTCCAACTCGATTCAACGTGACCAATTATATAGTCCAAGAAATCCGGAATAGGTAATTCCAAGGTCAGCCCCTGTCTGTGATCCACACAGTCGTGGGTCGCCACTAACGGGTATGGACAGCAATCTTGAATGGTCCTTTTGATGATATCGGTGGCGCGGCGCACGTCACAGTAGGCGAACCGAGCAACTCCACCAATGGCTTCAAGAAGCAGGGGCCATTGCAAGGGTTGTCAGCGGTTGGACCGGGGTAGCGGCGAGCGGCTTTCGAGAGAAGACCTCGGGAGGAGGACAACTTGGGTGGTCGGTGCATTGAACGAAGGCGGTGTCCATAACAATCCGATTCCTGTGAATACTGCTTTGGCTTCCCGAAGTTCGGAAATCATTTGTAGCAATCGGAAACACGTCTGTTTGCACCTGGGAATCAATTGTTAGTTAGGGTCACAACTCGGGACATCACTGACCTAGTATCCGTTGCTCAATGAGGGAACAACAAATTCCATTGCCTGCTTTCAGTAGACATAAGCGAGGAAATATCATCAAGCGCAAGAGGTGAGAGACCCGCGGTGGTTTGGACTCTGGACGGTGTCGCGACAGATTTCTGTTAAGCGCGTCGCAGTTGGACTGCGCGTCGTTGGGCGGGTAATTATGCATGTTTCTTGAGACTCTATAGAGAGTAAACTTTCGTTTGGGCGTCTTGAATTAGGCTTTTCCTGGGCGGTAACTCTGTGGTTGAGCTTCGTTGTTCAAAGGTTGCAGGTGCTTGAAGTCTGATCCGACCGCGTTTAGTGGGCCTGTCAAAATACTCAGCTGTTCAGTCAGTTACCCTGAACAGTAGGATTGCATCGTCTAGTCTCAGTGACAATGAACTCAATACAGATGTCTGACATTCAACGTTAGAAAAGATGAGAAACTACTAATTTGCCGTGATTCTGCTGTCAATTCCTCATCCTGCGATGGCAAATGGCAAAGGCTGGCGCCGATTGTCGACCATTGAAGTGAGCCAAACACCATAAATAACACCTGTTTGGAACAGGAGCGGGAAATTTTGATTCAAGTAGTGAACGTTCTAAACAATAAATGAAAATTACCTGTGACGTGGATTTCGTGCCCATTTATTGGCGAGATTGTAGTCGCTGATTGACTTTGGCCTTAACCCAACACTCAGGGAATGCTAGTGACTGAGCAACAAGCAGGACACGACCGATCAAATATTAATCACGTATTAAGACTCATAGAATGGGTGTCAGTGGTGTCATATTTAGCTACAACTCCCCTTCCTACCACGCTATTCCACCAGCCCAATCATCTTATCCTTCCCACCATTGCAGACTTCAATTCGAAGTCATTGTTATGGGCAGAGTGACTCTCAGCGGAGAGGTTCCCACCAGAGATGGCTGCGTCGACCACATGAAAGTTAGTATGGTATAGACAGAAGATGTTGCCAGACTCACCAGAGTGTGTACCAAAACTACTCATCGGTAGAAGAGTCATCCTCGGCGGAGATGGTCGTCACCTCATGCGGGCCCATCGCCCAAAGAATCGCTTCCTGGATGGTTCTCTCATCTGTGGTACTAGAAGCCCAGATCTCTCGTGCAGCTGCAAGTCTCTCCTCGTCGTAGCCCTCACAGAAAACCCAGCGGCTGAGTCCGGCCTTGGCCTCGGCCAGGGGCTTCTCCAGAATCTCCAAAACTTCATCACGGCACTCTGCGATGAAAGTTCGCTTCTCATGCGCCTTCCTGATGAAATACATTGGCTCGTCTTGGACTTCGGCATATGCACTGCTAGTCAATGTGGTCAACCCCTGGCTGCTGTGATAGGAACTGCTGTAAGGGACAGGCATAGCCTTACGCACGCGCAGGAAGGTCGCTAGCGACATTGTCCCGCCAAAGTAGGCTTCAATTACCCAGTCAACGACGGATTGCCAAAGCCATCGGACCGAATCACCGATTCCCTCGCTTCCGGGGTTGACGCAGGTGGTAGGGCTGAATCCAACAACCAAAGTGATACAGCCTTCGTCGTCGCCATTCCACGAGATCGCCAGGTGAGGGGGGATGATTTCGTTGTTGATGTCGTGGAGGAGTTGGTCACCTTCCCCAAAAATAAGGTTGTAGAGATCGATCCAGAGTGGGAGTGCGATCTGGAAAGGACCAGTGATGGGAGCCACCATTTCACGGGGATAGTTTGGATCCTTCTTCCAGACGTGGTTCCGCTGGTCCAGAGACGGCACTTCCGGCTCATCTCGACGACCGACGTCGCATACACGTAATCCGCGGGCCAGACGCCAATTCTGATAAGTTGGCGAGATACCCTCTGCGATCTTGTCGGGTGAATCAAATTCAGTTGGGATGGTGAAGGGCCATTCGACAGCTTCGATGTCAATTTCGCTGACTGTTTATTGTTGTCAGTCTAGAAACTAATTCTCGCATGTAGAGACTTACAGAGCTTTTGCCAGGCGACGCGATCTGCTTCGTACTCTAGCCAGTCGTGGCTGGCCCGTTTATGGCATCTCTCTTCGAGGCTCTTCATGACTTGTTCGAAGGCCATTCGGAGGCAGTTGTCCCATTTGGCAACCGCATCGCTACCGACGTACTTGAGGTAGAGGGAAATGAACCGACGGCGTGAATCGATGCAGCATGCGTCATACGACGAGGGGTTAGGGGGTGTTCCGGACACCATGGCGCAGAAAAGGCTTGAACGATTCAGCAGGCAATCCGTTATTGTGAGATGAGGAAGTTGAGGATTTTAGGAGAGAAAGAATTTTTTGATTGTGGGAGAAAGCTACAAGTGGCTCGTAAAATTTATTCACTCTGATTCAGGGGTCACCCCATGCCACCTGGCAAACACTGATAACTGCATTACAACTCATCCTCACATAAGCAGCCATTACCTCCTACAAACTATAGTGTGCGCATATGTTTCTTGGTCGGCTATTTGCTCAGTGCAATCATTCGCTTTCCTCCATACTAGTTTATCCCAGATCGCCAGCAGAAACATTCGATCTTTGATCCCGTCTCTCTTGCCCCTGCGCCTCGGCCGTTTGAGAGTATGGATTGAGATACTGGGAACAGCCATACACACCACTATAGAGACCAATAGCCCGAGTGATTGCTAGAGACTGTCCTGTGGAGAGTGATCCAGTCCTTCAGGGGAAAAGAAGCGCCAACTCTTAACGGGTATCGTGAACCAAGGCCACCATCAGCGGGTGAGGTACTAATTTATCGATCTTGTGAACCAATCTGCAGAGCCTTGTGTTCTTACACGGTGTGCAATCGTGGGGGTAAGGACCGAGACCGTCTGTGCCACTGTGGGATGGCGGTGATGGGTAGCCTGTAAATACGTTTTGCTAGAAGTATTGACGGTACCTGTGATGATTAGAATTATATAGCTTCCTTGGAGGGTCGAACGTACGCTAAATGACTGCGAAGGGGGCGAGGGACGAACGACAGGGGAGAAGGGAGATGGTATTTTGGCCATTGGCTGATGGCGTCGGCCTCGGTAGGACATTCTCAAGCCTGGTGGGCGGGCTTGGAATTGTTGTGATAGTGGAAGTACCGGCCTTATTCGAGAGTTCGGCAACTTACATGTGTCGCCAGTATCGACGTTTCTCCCAATGTGCAGGATTTGGCAACTGGAGAGATGCAGTAGGAATACTCTAGTCTTAGAGCTTTGCAGTCACCGTCTCGTGTCGTTTGTGGTTGGCATTGGCGCAACGGTGAGTCCGATCTCTCGTGTCGTTGCTCATTATGGGTGAGAAAGCTGGACTTTGGACGAGACCGTCGCCGGGGGGTGGCAAAATTCAACATAATGAATCGTCTTTCAAATGGTGGGGATGAATATGTATCTGTTTTCTGTCTGTTGTGGCGTGGAACGAAGATAATTTCTTGGGCGATGACCGCTGTGAGGGCGATGGGTTCAGTATTCGTGATCTTGCTACTTGAGAGGCGTGTCGATGTCCGTAGGATGATCAAAGCGGCTCGTTGGCTGCTGCGGAGATAGAGATCGAACTTCGCTGCCTCGAAAAGCTCTGCGTCGGCATCCCAGTCCTTTGCCTTCGTATCCCAGACCAAAGCGTCAAGTATTGCATCCTTAAAGAGGCACTGGGCACATAGATACATGCTGGATATGGCCAGGGACGAGATGATGTTTGGGGCCTTTCAGCTCCGATTGCACAGGCTTTGCTTAGACGGAACGGAAGTGATGCGGGGCTTCGTAAGATTGGAGACTCCTGGCTGAGGGGGAAACAGGTGAGAATCATCGAATTGAGAATGTCGTCGGCTGTATCGCCTTCGACTGTGAAGCTCATGTCTGGTATTGTATCTGAGTTTGTGGCTCTCCCTGGGGTATCTGCTGGGCCTGAGTAACTGTCAGTGAAAGGCCATGTGTACAATGAAACAGACAACGGACTTCGACATCCCTGGAATCTTTGGCTGATATCAGATGCGAAGCTGACACCCAGGTCGAGCTACAGAGAGTCACTGGATGAACTCCTGGATGACCTCCAGTTCATCAGGGGCTTCAAGAAACTCCGACATCCTCTCAATACCACCATGGAACTGCTAGTCAACTGCCGTATCGTTGCACGGCTTATATTGTAAAGCAGGAGCTCGATATGGTTGGGCCTTTCGGATTCGAGGTGAGATAGAATGGCTGTCGAAAGTAGTGAACATGGGAGTTAGTGTTCATTGCAGTGGCCGTTGCCAGTCGATTATGAGTGCATGATTCTTCTGTGACAATGGGAGACTCCTCTCGGCCCGCGTCTGTGGTTGTTGGTTCGAGATCGACGTGATGGCATAAATCGGGGCTTGTGTCTCGCGCTGAAGACCTTGTCATTAGGACCAGGGCCGCGAGAGTGGTCAAAGAAGGATGGTCATAGTCGGCCTTTGCCGGTCGATGGCTCAGTGTCGGGTCCCTGGATGAGTGTATTGCTATCTTTGAACACGAGAGTGTAAATGAGCTGTGTCCTGCGAGTCGGATTGGAGGTGTATAGGCTTTCGCGAACAGGCTGAAACCACACGACTTTGACAACCTAAATAAGGAGGCAGCCGGCCATGATCTGTTGCCGCATCCTTTGTCGCGTGGTAGGTCTGCTTCATGCTTAGCGACCTGCGGTCCGGCCCTCCCGACATTAATTCGGTCCGTGCTGGCGCCGGCCAGGATTTCCCAGAGTCAGAGCTCTTAAGCGTGGTCGATGAGAGGGGAAGTCAAATTCCTGGGTTATAGGGGAGTTAGTGGATAAGAGGCCTAAAAGTGCGGGTGCGGCGGGGTATGCCATTCCTGAGGGGGGGCGGCAAATCACGCTTATTGGCTCTCTTTTCTTCATCATTGCTGAGGGGGGGTGGGAAATCACCCTCATTGGCTCTTCATCTTACTTTGAAGACGGCCGCCGAGTTCAGCGCTCTGACATGCAACCACAGAATCACGGAATTGGCCTAAACTTGTGAGCATCTTTTTACGCATCCTTATTCACAGAGTCAATCTGTCCTCCCGTATGAGCGAGTTGACCAACAGCATTCAAGCCGGCGAAAAGCTCAAAGGTTCAATGCACCAACGCTGCAGTCAGGGACTTGCTGAAAGTGCCGATGTTCACATCGATTAGCAAAATTGGGGTTACATCAGGGGGAGACGTAATGTCATGACTACAGTCTATAGAGTCTCATTATCCAACAGCGGATATTAATATAGAACTACCTGCCAACTAGAATCCTGAGAGTCTGTAATCTTTTGCCCTATGGTCCTGTGAATGGACAGGCCCCGGTAGCTAAGGGTACGGGCTGCGTCGAGTCTCACTGGCCCTCGCCACAGGTCAATCTCCATCACACTCACAGACCTCATGTTGAACCCATTGCCCTTCCCTCCCTTTTCTTTCTACTCATTGTTGCTGCGAGGCAAGTATCAAGTCCCTCATGTACTATGCCAACACACTCATGAAGCCGTAGTAAAGCTGGAGGTGTGTTGAGCCGTTAAAGATGTGGATAATCCTGAAACATGGTTCTCGAGCGGATAATTGTTTTTTGTGGGCTGTACCTGATTATCAACATATACAGATGGGAGCAAGTCAAGTGAAGCTGAGATCATTGATATGGTCGAACGGTGGGGTTAAGCTGAGGAGGAGCCGCGTTTGAAGTGAGATGTGGAGTGGGTCTTTCAACGACAAAGGCGTTATCCTGTCGCCTGTAATGTTACTTGAGCCAGACATCTATGATTAGTGGCGGGTATTGAGACCTTCGGACAGAATGTTATATGATAATAGAGACCAAAGTATAACACCAACTTCGTGTCAGTGCTGTCGAGCCAATTAGTGACAAGCAAGGGCAGCGTACGAACCCAGCGAGTTTGATCATGGCGCTAGCACCTCGTGTCGGCGCTTGGCGTATGTTCATATTTCCTATTTGAGATATGTGCCCATTCGTGATTGGTGGACTTGAGGTATAAAGTTTCATCTCTCAGAAGGCGTTCTGGGGAAGCGACTTCCTTGGATCGCGAACCGTTTTCAACGTTCCGGGAGTGTTGACCTCATCGCAATCGTCTTCATCTGCTGGCCGTATGATGGAAGGCACTTCCTGCTTATTTGGAAAGTGAGCGGCGAGGTATTCGGGGTCCTCACACGAGCTGACGTGTCCACTAGCTTGGTGTGGGCTGTTAAAGAAAGGGTAGTGCTCATCGGGCGAACTCCCTGGACAGGGATGTAATCCTCTATATATACGTAACGAGCTCCGCTTCCCCATCATATCATAGAAATCAAGACTCTTTGAACCCTTTTCATGTGACATTCTGCTGTTGGTGCTACACCCGATGTCTCGACCATGTCAATCGTCTCGGCCTCACACATAAAGGAGATTCGTTCTTTTTGGCGGGATGAGCCTGTCAGCTAAATGTCAGAGATGCGCTAAGACTTGGGAAGGTGAGATGTTAGAACCAACCTCGCTGCTAATAGAAGCAGTTGTCATCCAAAAGCAGTTGTGTCGCGAGCATGCATCTCATCCCAGTACTTGCCAGCCTCGATTGCAGCCTTGCGAACGAAGGCCTCCTTCGATAGACGAAGCACGTCAGAAGTGCCGGAGGCATGTTGCTCGCTACCGTTACCAATATTGTTCTCGGAAAACGCCATCAAAGTCTTGGGGGCTTGATCGACTAGTTGAGGCTCTGCATCGCATGAGTAACCGGGATGAAGGCCGCTAGCGACTTAGCAAAGGAGCTGGAGACTCATCCAATCCTCCATGTACGCCTCTCCTCGCCTCACCATATACATATAGATGAAACAACTTCAAATGCCTCACTGGCCACCTTGGGCCAAGGACAGCACCGTCGGTTCTTTTGGCAGGATCGCCTATGTCTGAGATAGGGACACCATGGTCTAGGCGCCATTTCTGGTAGGTTGGCGAGTCACCTTCAATGCCCAAATGCTCTAAAGATTGATTGACTGGGAGCTGCAAATGTGGAGAAGAGATTGTGCTGCCCTGTAAGAGGAAAACACTACGCTGCTGGTCTTCTTGGTGAAGTGTGGTGATGGCCAAGTTGCGACTCGTTGTTGTCTGTAGACTTCTGACATGTCGCCGCTTGTGTCCTTTTCTTCAGGCCCTGACTTCCAAGGCCCAGCTGGAGCCGGACGGACAGGATGTCTTCTGGCTCCTGGATGGATCTGGGTGTTCGTGGGAGCGATTGACGGATAGCATGGTTGAAGGCAGGGCGGGAGACTTGCTGGAAAGTGGATGCGCTGTGACAGAAGAAGTACATATAATAAAGCTTGAGTGTTGGTTGTCGCCGAATCATCTCAAGCACCAGGGGTGTAGCAGGCTTTTATTGGTGTTGACTTTGATAGGTTGAGTCAGAGTGCGCTCTTCACAACATGTTTAGACCTCACCTTGAGAGACATGTTCCCCGAGCTCCTCGACGATGAGGAGCAAGAGCTCTGCGATTCTGAACGTCTTGTTTCGGTTCATTCGTCAATGTAGCTCGCGGTACATCCACGCTCATGTCGTCGAGCTTGGTGTAGTGCCCTCAAAAGGTCAAGGAGGAGCCTGGTCTCGGGGACGATGAACTTTTGGAGTCAGTATATACATACATTCCAAGGGTTTCTAACTTACAGAGGTTCATCCAAGCGGCTAGGTTGTTACCGATCTTCGGATCCTGCGTGGTATCAAACCCCGCCTGGATGTCCTCGACTGGCTCCCCATGCTTGGTCTGTCGCAAACCGCGGGCGTTCCCAACAGGCATCAGCCGCGGCCGTAGTACTCTTGTCAGGAGGCTTCGTATATTGCCTTCCCGAGTGTCGCAACAAGAGACAAAAGGGATCTTCTGATGTGGTCAGTTTTCAGTCGTCAATGAATTTGGCGGACTTACTTATATAAAGATGTTTGTTTGAGGAGAAAATGAGGATGGGAGAGGACGTTACTTTGGTGGCCCGAGCGTTGCGTGGAGGGGCCGCTCAAAGTGGAGATCTGGTGAACCGAGTTAGCAAAGAAAATCAGGTTACTCGATAATGTCACGAGTATAAGGGAGTTGTGTGACGAACCTTGTGTGAGCAGTTGCAAGTTGTTGATGAGGTCGAAAGACAGAGGAGGTCGAAAGACAGAGGAGGTCTGTGTCCTGTATTCCAAGGCGTCAGCTAGGTGTATCAAGCTAGGCATGCTTAACACTCACTCGAATGCCGGTGCGTGTCTTGGGACACTTTCTCTCTGATCATCAGCTTGGATCTGATGACAAGAGATGAGACAAGTCTCCATCCAAGTGCTCACTACATGTTACCAGCCTTGGAGTTCCAACTGGATGGGCACCGAGTAGCTGGCGTCCAACTGTCAAGAAACAAAAAAGATATACATATTCAGATCAAGATAAGATCTGAGCTCATCACCATGATCGCATGTTGAGATGAATGAGTGAAGGACAAGGGAGGGGACTGGGACTACTTATAGGCAGAATCATGTGATCTTTCTTTCCATCACAGGCCCTTGTTTCCATGCATCTTCATATGCTTGCGATGATGAATGTGACTCATTACCCAAAGGCCAAATGGATTGCGCCGTCGATAGCTGGAATGTTTAATCAATCTTTGAAAATGTGAGGTTATAATGCACTGGTAAGCGAGCTCCCTGCAAGCAGGCCACACAAAGCATCAATAAACCCATGAAACGTACTCAACAAATGATATTGACAATCTCAATTGGGCATCACTTACCGGAATCGGCCTAGATGTGGTATGAAACGTACAATCATTGCCACAAACTGTAACTTATGGGGGCAAGCCGTTATCACGTTTGAGACAAAACGCAACTCCAACTCAAATCAATGTGACCAATAACACAATCCATGCAATTTGGAATAGGCAATTCCACGCCCAGCCCTTGTCTGTGATCCACAGCCACTAACAAATGGCCCGTTAACTCAAAGGGATGGTGACGCGCCAAGCTAAGTTGACCACAGGAGAAATAAGAAGTCTAACGGTAGTTCAGGTTGCCATGGTAGACTGGCCTAAAAGTTCACTGAATCTACCTAAATCTTTTCCTCTTTAAGATAAACGCCCCAAGTTTTATTGCCTTTCCTTGATCGAGCAACCGCGACAACGAGCTTGGTCCTGGCACTTCGTGGAGCAGACGCCACAATAGAGGATGCTCTCATCTACTCTGCCGACGAACTGGTGGGATCGGCTGGGCGAGAAAGACCAGGGATCGGGATCTAGCACCATGAAGCACTAATGTCAGGAGCAATATGTCGATAAGCCTGTCGGGGGAGGTTCGGTATCCGAAGGAGACCAGGGTTTGGGCTTCGTGAGGGGTGATGTTCGACTGTATCAGAGTGTTAGGCGTCCCTTGGATTGTTTGAGTGTGTGCCTGTGAATCAAACTTCAGTTCTCTGCACAAATTTCGCCAAATCGCTTGCCTTTCTGTTGTTTTCGGTAGCCAAGCAGAGAATGTTTTGGACTGCACGTGGTTTGTAGTGTGATTGTACCCGTTTGACCGCGCCGCGATTGGAGGGCCGCTCGTCAGGCATAAAATGTTGTCTGAAGCCGATATCAGCGATTGTGCGCGTAGAGAGCTAGCATGCGGATTTGCCTGAATGTTGACTACATGACCTTCGAATGAGCTTTGTCGTCCACCTCTTGGCTTGAATGCTGCCGATGAAGCGGGTCCAACGCGTTTGTTCACCCTAAACGACACGAATGCTAAGCGATTCGTTGTTGTGGGATGAGGAAGTTGAGGATTTTGGGGGAGAAAGAGAATTTTAGTGGTGGGAGAAAGTAGTAAGCGTAGCTAGGTAGTAAAATTCCCTTCACTCTCATTTAGGGGCCACCCCATGCTAGCTGGCAAACACTGATAACTGCGATAAACGCTTTCCACAATACCAGATTATCCAAGATCGCCGCCAGAAAAATTCAATCTTCGATCTCATTTTCCCCCGAGTCTCGCAAGTCAATCTCCGCAAGACAACATCGCGCCCCCAAAAACAATTCCTTTTTAAACAGCCTTCTTCCAAACCCCCTTTTTGTGGCGATTCAAGATGGCTCCTCCTCACCGTCAGGATAATCGCAGTCACCGCGATGACCGAGATCGAAGCCGCAGCCGCACCTCTCGGGCTCAAGCGGGTGGTTCACAGGATGAGGATGTGGCTGCCGCCCAGCGGGCAGTTGATCAAGCCTTGGAACGGCAGCGTCAAGCTCAGCGTGGAGTTGACGAAGCCATGAAATGGCAGCGAGAGGTTCAGCGTGAAGTTGATGAAGCGTTGGAACGGCAACGACAAGTTCAGCGCGAAGCTGTGGAGGCCTTGGAACGTCGTGCAAATAGCCAACGACGTAGCCACCGAATACCCTCTGTTGCAAGCAACCGCAACACCTATTATCGCCAGGGCAGAAGACCTACCGGCATCACCAAGCCCCAGCAGTCATCTAGGGTGGGGCAAGCCTTCACGAATCTTGCTCCTAATGCTGAGAGACGCGACTCCGCAAATACTCATCACGGGCCTGGCGGTATGGGTGCTGCCAACAAGCCTCTCAGTGGTGAGCAGCCTCTCAGTGGTGAGCAGCCTCTCAGTGGTGAGCAGCCTCTCAGTGGTGAGCAGCCTCTCAGTGGTGAGCAGCCTCTCAGTGGTGAGCAGCCTCTCAGTGGTGAGCAGCCTCTCAGTGGTGAGCAGAGGCGCTCTTACCGCTTTCCGCCAAATCGCACTGGTATCATGGAGGGAGTCACCTATGATACGGATGAGTTGAAAGCAGTTGGCGACCATGTTCTGAATGTCAACCAAGGCGCATGTCTGTCCTACCGCGTGGAGCCCAGGAGGCACGACGCTAAGAGGTTCATGGAAAATGAAGAGGTGCTCGTGAGGGTCACCTCCTCCGATGGCCGAACCAAACTGAGCAAGGGCTACTCTTGGCGAGCAGAAAGCTGATATCTCGTGGCAACCTGGCAGTGAGTGTGTCAACTGCAGGCTCAAGACACACACACTGCGCCACTGTCTGGACGCAGAAAACGAGCCCGATATCTATGGTTGCATTTTATGCAACGAGAACTATATGGTGGACCAATGCCGCCGGTTTAAGAGCATGTCTCTTAAAGAACAGGTGGAGCTCCTGGTCTTTGAACGGGCCAATATGCCTCGCCTTGCGGTCAGCAAGGACTTCCCCACGTGGTATGATCTGCTTGAGCAGGCCATCTCCTCCGGGGATGTTGACGCCAACGAGCCAATGTAGGGGTTCCCTTGGACTGGCCAATTCTGCTTGGACCTCTGCCGCGAGAATGGTGGAGACACGATCCGGGCACTCCAGAAGGAGTTCGATGAGTCTCGCTTCGACACATCGATTCTGCGCGAGGATCCCGACACGGATTCGCTGCACCAGGTCCGGTTACATTACGGTAACCAGCCACAGACCTCTCGTGCGCCGGGCCCCTCGTCATCTGGTGATCATATTCACCAGGATGATCCCCGTGATCTCCCACACGCCGCGGAAGGTCGCTTTGGTCCCCTTACACCGAAGCAAACCCAGCCTGCCTCATGGGCTCAATCCGGGGATATGCAGGATTCAGAAGCTGGCCGAGGTATCCTTCGCAGGATATAGAGGGGTCATCATCAATACATGATGATCTGCGTACGAGCTCTCTACCAAATCCCTACCGATGAACCCGTATACGTGGTTCTTTCCCGTTGTCCCATGATTCAATTCCTGGAACAACACTCAGTAGGGACATGAGATCTTTTCGCTTTCCACGGGCCATGTCACATCTCCATCGGTCCATCAAAAGCTCAATTCCGACAGTGTCGGTATTTCCTATTTCTTTTGCAGCAATTCTCGTAATGTCGTACCCCTTGCGACATATCGCTTTGCCTTTTTGTAAGTTGCCTCTCAAGTCTTGTTACAATTGTGAACTAACATCCCAAGTCCAGGCACTCGTTCCCAGCCCTGCTACACGACACCGAGACCGAGACCTACGTGCCCGATAGATGGCAACGTACCCAAGGCGGCACAAAAATACGACTTTCAAATCGGTACATACAATCTGTCTTGGTGGCCAAGTATTCGCCTCACGTCTGCCGCAAGAACACCTCACTTAATACGTCACTGAAGTCAAACTCTGGAGGAGGGCAACAGGGTATTCGGGTAGATTTTTGGAACCAACTCATTAAGTTTTGACATCAAGCTTTGCATCCCCCACTCAAACGTCCATTCTCATTCTTTTGTGATATACGTAGTCAAGACTCTGTATGAAGTTGTCTCCTGTAGTCTGTACCAAGTTGTCCGTGATCATTTATCCTCTGGACCAGAAGTCTCGACAAAGCTCAGGAACCAATATGTCCTTCCTACCTCGAGTCTCTTCAGCTCGTGAAGAATGTTAACTCTGCCGATCCCGCCTGTGACATTTTGATCTATCGCTGGTAACAGCTCACTGTGAAGCGGCATCTGCGCTTTCATCTTGGTCAGGCAAAGGCATAGACAAACTGCATTATAAGTCTGGCTACAGACACCCTCGTGCAATAATTCGAATGCCTCGGGAGCTGTTTAAAAGCAGATCTTAAAGCTTCCCACAGTCTTCCAAGTGCTCCACAGCTCAGAAATATAACATCTCATGTCCTCATCTAGTCAATCCACCACATCAACAGACTTTTCTATAACTAGAAATTACAGGTAGTAACAAAAAGCATATGAATACCCATATTCTTCTGTAATGCAAGTAAGGAGAACTTGTTTTTAGTAGTACATAATACCTATATGTCTAGACATACTATTAATATGTCTAGAGGTATTAATATTAGATCTAGTCATATTATTAATATATCTAGACATATAGGTATTATGTACCACTGACTAGACCTAATTGACCTGCACTTTGATGAATGTTGAAACTGCTCCTGAATGACATTGAGACTGTCTGTTATATTTTGTATAGTCTGCCTAGACAAAGCTGTGTTAAAGCAAGGCTTTTATATATAGTCCTGAGTCTTTATATGTATGTCTTTGCCATAGCCTTGAACGAGAAGAGTGTTAGCTCTATGCTATGTAACTGAATAAACGGAGCGTCAGTCAATTCACATTGACGGTCTTAATCGATGAGATAAATTGTTTTACAGAGACATTACAACTATGCCAGCATACCACAGTTACATGTTTATTATTATCGTACAAGAGAACGTGTGCATACATTTATCCAGTCTCACAGGTCCTTCACCTTGTCCACATATGCCATTCTATACAATGGATGAGTTCGTCTTGCAATGTGGCTTGAGCGAGCCTTAAGACAACCGACACCAGTAAATGGTGTGTTGGCAAGAAGCACAAGAAGCAGTCGTTGGCGCTGAACCTGCGAGCGAGGTATGCCAGTATCCATAATTGATCCATTCTTGACCCCATCTGCGAAGTGTTGAGACTGTCGGAAGTCGTCAAGCACCGGTGGCCTGTCGCTGGGCAGTTGTGGAGGGACACTTCCTTGACGAAAGGAGTGCTTGGAGCCTTCGTGATCAATGCTCCTCTCCCTGACCGAGCGGCTTGGGGAGATTGGCTCATCATCATTGTTATCCATACCGTGGTATGAGCCTGTCTCGTCGAAATCGTCAGCCATACCGCGGTGTGAGCCTGCTGGCGAGTCACTACGCGGCTCGAGTAGAGATTCACGATCCTCCGATTGGCCACGGTCTGGACTGACAGACAAGGGCGCCTGGGGTAACAGACGAGCCTCGAACCGAACGGCTGTCGATGACGACTTTGGTGACTTATGTCCAGTGTGGTAGCGAGAGGCTGTGTTGTCATTTCGCTTCCCTTGTCCAGTCTCGAGGGCGGCGACCCTCTTGCGAAGGTCGTCGACTTCTCCCTTGTACTTGGCGAGCCTCTTCTCTTGGTCGGCAATTTTCTTGCCTTGGTTGTTGACTTGGGCAAGCAATTCCGACTTTGAAGGGGACCCGACTCCCTGGCCTACACTCAAGTAGGGATTGTACTCATCGGGGACTAGCCCTGGCCGTTGCGCAGCAACATTAGCCAATGTCTCCAACGGAGGAGGGCGTTGAGCCATGTGACGAGGCTCGGGGTTGGAGGGTTCGGGGTTGCTTGGAGCATTGACGGTGATCGGGCTCCCAGTATCATCTCCGCCTTGGTCGAAACCCCCAAATTGGAAGTCTTCTTCGACCTGTGGGCTTCCATTATCACTTTCACCTTGGTCGATCCCCGCACCTTCAGACTCCTCTTCGACCTGAGGGTCATAATTGCTTTTCAGCATCCAGTCCCTCAGCTTCCTCTTGTGGGCGCGCTCGAAGTATATTGGGAGTTCCTCTGCATTAGGAGCCTCCGCCTGGGCTATGACAGACTGGTACCTAAAGAGCGCTTCTGTAGTGGTGCAATTCCACGCCTCAACAGGCCACGTAGTCTCATCAAGGGTTTTCTTGATGTGCCTGAGGTCATATAGAGACACGGGTCGGACTGGGAGGCCTCTATAGCTCTTTGCTTCCTCCGAGACCTCGATGCCCTTCACAGTTGGCTTCTTTACTGTCTCGCCAATTGCAAACAAGAGATCAGAGATCTTTGAAGGGGTCTTCCCTTCCCTTGCGCACTCTCGCCGACACTCCAAGTGAGTTCGATGGATGGAGTCCTCAGACTCACCGGTCTCCGACTCATTCATCACCTCAACCATCTTGATCAGGGCCGGGCAAGCGGGTCTTGAGGTTGTCTCGGGCCACAAGCGGCGGTCATCAATACGGCATATTACAGCGTATTGCATGGCTACTGCCACATTATCCTTCTTGCCATTGAAGGCAGGATGAACTATGAGGCGAGCGAGTTCATCCGAGTATGCTCTGGAGAATACTGCTGAACTCCCCCTATCACCAAGATACTCTACCCCAAGGGAGAATGACATGAATCGGATCGGAGACATCTTGTAAACCCGAAGGCAGACTTTGAACAAGCTCAACAGATGGGCTTGTGTTGTTTTACCGTTCTTCAGCATGCCGCCTACGGCTTCTTTGTGATCCGTCTCTTCCCACATCCTGGTCATGGCATCTTCGTGGGCTTGTGACCATCCATCTCTAGGCGGTCGAATGAGCTCACCGACGTAGCTGTCGACATTCTCCCTTCGGAAGGCTCTCGTATTCTCCGAGATCTTTTCGGCAAACTCACGCGCTGTCGCGCTCTCTTCGATGCTGTTTTTCGCGGGGCGACCGCGTTTCTTCGTCGCCGGTGCGGGATCGGGGCAGTTTCGGCCGGTCGCTTGCGTGATGATGACATTTTGATAGTTGCGGTCTTACTTATTTTGTCAGTGATTCAGTGTTGTGATGTTTCATTATTTATAAACTCACAGTAGCTCTCGTGTGTTTTCGCTGCTGCTGTTGCTTTTGTTGTGTGGGGCAAAATCAGTCGAGGTTCAGAAGGCGTGGGTGCGGTCACTGATGGGTGTGCATTTCGCCAAGTCGGACAGACAATCTTATCGCCAAGTAGTAGAATTAAGAACAAATTTACCTACAGCTATCCCAATAGATAATTCAAGAACTAACTCTATACAGTACTAAATATATTATCTATAGTCATAGTCATAGTCATAACTCACTTATTACATGACATAAGTCCTTAATTATATATAGTTATAATATCATTATGCATAGTCATAACACTATTATGTGTAGTCATAACCCGGTTATTACATGATATAATGCCTTAAATACCTGTAGTCATAATACCATTATCTGTAGACATAACCCGGTTATTACATGACATAAGGTCAGTACTGTCTCGGGTCATTTACATTAGAGTCAACAGACTCTGTACAGAACTGAGGTTATCTCCTAAGTTAGGGAGTTTTTATCCTTCTGCTTGTCCTGCTGTTACGTACTAGAATCTGAAGTCTGTTTGCGATATAAAGAAGGCCTGTATTATATCTGTTAAGAAACAACAAGTAGGCATCTACCCAGCTGTACAGAATGTTTTTATCTCCAATACTCAATACAACAACTGCAATGTCTTGACACCCAACACCGATGACAGTGAAATAGTCAACTAGTAAGTGCTAATCTACCCGACAACTGACCAGATCCGTAAACAAAGCATATCAATACGTCAGGCATCGTCTATGAAAGAAGTTTTTTATATTTCCTGTCAAGACATCGGGGTATGCCCAGAAGTCGTACAATGGAGACGCAGGCTCTCGATCCCAGCCAAGTGGCCGCTGTGAATATGACTTTTAGGTCGTACAATGGAGATCGCAGGCTTTCAATCCCAGCCAAGTGTCGCTGTGAACATGACTTAGAAAACAAGCAAGTGGCGGTTGTGCACCGGCATTGCGCCGGATGCCGGAAGAAGTCAACTGGATTTTGTTAGACCAACTTCACCACTGCTCGGCGGTTAACTCACTTCTGATGTCTGGGAACTCAGACACAATGCCGTCGAGAGTTGGCATTGGAGACCGGCTGTGATTTTGTTAGACCCTCATCATTTGTCGGAAGTTAAACTCACTTTGTGTGTCTGAGTTCCCAGACATAATCTGTTGAAAGTTGACATTGCTCAGGTGGTTAGTGCTGGTTCTGGCTTTCTTTCGTGGGGGACCTTCTTGGTGATCTTCGTTGTTGGGTTGAGGGTTTGTCCAGCGAGCTTGTGCTTTGGCGGATTGAGTGTCGAGTTTAAAGATACTGAAGTATTTATTAAATACTGCGAGGCCAACTCTGCTTGGGTCGTTTTCATTCTGCTGGACTGGGCTGGGAGAGCGATCCTCGGGGTTCGTGAAATCAACTGGAATCTTGTTAGCCTGCATCTATCAATTCCTGGGGGTCAACTCACTTCTAATGTCTGGGAACTCAGACACAATGCCGTCAAAAGTTGGCATTATTGACCGGCTATGATTTTGTCAGGCCATGTTCACCACTTGTCAGGAATTAAACTTACTTGTGTGTCTGAGTTCCCAGACATATTCCGTTAAAGGTTGACATTGCTCGGGTGTTGAATTCAACTAGAATCTGTTAGTCTGACCCTATCAATTCCTGGGGGTCAACTTACTTCTTATGTCTGGGAACTCAGACACAATGCCGTTGAAAGTTGGCATTATTGACCGGCTGTGATTTTGTCAGACCATGTTCACCGCGTGTCGGAAATCAAACTTACTTGTGTGTCTGAGTTCCCAGACATATACTCAATAAGGTTGGGTTTCCGGGAAATAGGTGGCGAACCATGGCTCGCCCCGGATATCTCGTGGAGAGCTGATGGGTTCCGGGGTATGACGTTTACGAACCATGGTTCGCCTCGAATATCTCTGTTGTGTTGCGTGCCTCGTTGAGAGGGCTTCTTGTCGAGGGTCTTAATGCCGACGTGTACTCGATTAGGTTTGGATTTCGAACCATGGTCCGCCCGGATAGAGGTGTGGTGGACGGGGGGTTGCCGGCGAACCATGGTTCGTGGGGGATTTTTGTGTTGTTTGACAGGTGTTGTGTCAAGATAAATCTTGTCAATGGTCTTGTCCGTAAAGGTTGTTTGGCATTCCATTTGTTCTGGAGTAGGATGGTTCAGTGCGAAGATCGGTGAGAGTGAAGAGTGATGACTGAAGAGAGTGAGGAATGGAGAGAAGAATAAATGATGAAGAGTGAAGAATGAGAAATGGAGAGAGGCCGGGCGGGGATTCCCTTTTATACCTGGGTCTGTCACACTGCTTCCTCAGGCCGCAATGGACTGCCATGATTCACTTTTACCTCTCTTGGGTAATCACTCCTGCAGATTTTGTGAATCACCGCCGAAGATCAGGAAAGACGGGCAGTTTATCGAGGATATCTCTCCTTCCCTGAGGACCATCAATCTTCAATTGCGGACGACTTGATCCGATCCTCTGACCGCGCCTGCTGTTGAGCCGATTCGTCACTGCGTCTAATCGAGATTCACGGGAAGACTGGACTGTCTGCGTAATGATCCACCGACTTCGTAAGGTGTCTCGTGCCGTTGGGTTGACATTGCTGCCAGTCCCTGGTCAAGATGTTAATCGAGTGATGTGGGTCTCTTTGGGTACGTAGACTCATTTTTTGTGCAGTCGAGACTTGGGCTGGCAAGATGTGACATGATCACAGACATTTTACAGTCTGCGCAAATAGTTGAATAAATGAGATCTAGCTCAACTCTGTTCTTTATAGATATCAATTAGTGATATAAGCAGCGGTTCTTGGATGTAAACAAATTCGTCGACCTGGTTTGTGTTTGTAGCGGCTGTGACAAAAATCAATGAAAATACCCTAAACCAGCTTAAAGTTACAGCGCGACGTGAAAGAATTTCACAAGACATTATGCTACATATACAAATATGAGAGCAGTTTGAGACAGACTCAATAAGTGAATCACCAAGACTCAAGCAAATCAGTAACCGAAACACCAACAGAATGTCGTGATGGCTGAGCTTGAAGTGACGACACACAGTATATGCACAGTATCACACTGTCAACTCATTCCTCGCTCACCTCACTCATGTAGATGCTGGCTTTGATGAGATTCGTGCTGCCCCAACACAGCAGATCCCTCCGGGGGCTCCTAGCGGAAGGCTTTTCCTTGCTGCGCTCGTGTGTGTTACTACTCTCGGTCACAACGCGAACCGCAAAAGAAGACCGAAGAGTATGTTACAGGCACATCAGGGTACTCCGAGACTCTCGAGCAATAAAAGAATCACCCACGAATCAAAGCATCAGTGAAGAGATACGAGCGAAGCCAGAGAGAGCCCTCCGCTAGGAGCCCCNNAACCACATGCTTCGTCACTCTCTCCGCCGGTGCTTCAAACCACGCATTCACCTCTCCCTTACCCGACCATTCACCATGTCTCAGAAAACACAAGAGCCCGTCATCACCAAACTTTCTGACCTCCCGCTCGATGAGGCAAAGTGGATAACCCTCAAAAAGATTGAGTACGTCGACCAAGTCGGAAAGGCACGAACATGGGAGGTCGCAACACGAAAAACAAGAGGAAAATCCGGTGTCGATGCTGTCGCCATGGGGAATATTCTTCTTCACCCATCAAAGCCGGCTTCCACTCTACTCGTCATTCAGTACCGACCCCCTCTTGATGCCTACACAATCGAGTGGCCCGCTGGACTCGTCGACGCTGAAGAGACCGCCGAAGAAGCGGCTGTTCGAGAATTCAAGGAGGAGACTGGATATGACTGCAAGGTTTTGAGTGTCAGTCCCGCACAGGCTGCTGATCCCGGAATGACAAACGCCAACATGCAGCTAGCAATGGTGGAGGTTCAATTGGGCGAGAATGATGAAGAGCCAGAGCAACGACTTGATGATGGGGAGCACATCCAGCGGGAGATTATTCCTTTGTCTGAGTTGTATGAGCGTTTGGTTGAGTACTCCAAGAGGGAACGTACAGTCGTTGCGGCCAAACTGTTTCACTTTGCTGCAGGCATGCATTTTGCCCAAACTCAGAAGTACTTTTAGACAAGACACAATAGACGACAACTGTCATTATCTCGGATAGCCTCGAATATGCGACAGTCATCCCATTGAAGCCCGCTCATGATCGCCGTCTCTCACCTTCCTCATGATCGTTATCTCTCCTGCCTTCTGTTGTCGTAGCGCTTCGGAAAGTACCCGGCTGAGTCATCAGTTAAATGGCAATTGACCCCTCCATATCGCACCTTCATCCGTCACCAACAATTCTCATGGACCCAACCCTGGGATTTCCTTGCACGGCAGATGGGGAGATTAATGGCGCCTTTGTGACGCGACCGACATATCCCCAGGATCCCGACCCAGTGGATTCCAGGCCCAGAGTCGCCAAAGCCTGTGAGACGTGTCGGAGAAGGAAACGCAAGGTCAGTCGTCAAAGAGTCTGTTGCTGATAGCGCTAACAATCACAGTGCGATGGAAGTTCCCCGTGCTCGTCATGTTTAAAAAACAACATTGAATGCGTCTACGTGCTCGAAAGACCCAAGAGGTATGTCAGTGATACGTCTTGTTCGCTGCTAACTTGACAAGGAAGCAGAAAGACTCCGAGCTTGTATCCAACCTTGAGGATCAAGTCCTTGCCCTTAAAGACTACATACGGAAGCTTGAGGCTGCATGCGGCTATGCCAATCTTCCGAATTTCGCGCCAAGCACCCTCGATGATGACCTTGGTACTTCGACGGTCCCAGATGACAGCCAAAGCTCTGCCATCAATGATGTGAGCTCAATGATGTGGCGGATGAACCTTCACGGCAGTGGAGAGACATCCTTTGTTGGTCCATCCGGCAGCTTCTGTTTCCCTGTCAGTGGCCACGGCATCGAGACTCAGTCCGCCACTGCTGAAGCAGAAGAGAGTGTTCAGGTGCTACTCGACCTGTTCCGACAGCACATCAATTCCGTCCACCATTTTGTGTCTCCTCAAGTGATTGACACCCTCAAAGCGCCAGAGAGTCTTGATGGTGAGCTGTTGCAGACCTCAATCCTAGCAGCCGCGAGTCTTTTCGCCGATTCACAGGGACAGACATATGCAGACCGAGCTGAGGCTATCGTGATGAGGTGCTGCCGTACAATCCCCAACGTCGTGACAATACAGGCTCTAGCGATATTGACTTGGCGCGAGTTGGCACTGGAGAACGAGAACAATGCATGGCTGTATAACTGTATGTATCCGTCTGATGCAAGCCTGACCAAGCTAACAACCCAGCTATGGCGGCGAGTCTTATCGTTCACCTCGGGCTGCACGTGAGCTCTTTCGAGAATGTCATGCAGATACCGGTCGGGACGCCTTCGGACATTGACAAGAGCGTACGTGTCCAGACGTTTTGGTCGGTCTTTTTGATGGACAGGTAAGTCTCGGAAGCAAGTAAAGAACGAATACTTACATCGCAGAATCTCCACCTCGATGCTTGGACGCAATTGCATGATTCCCTGGCGGAGAGTCCGAGCGACACCATACCTCAAAGCATGCAGCAACCCCACGACAGAGGACACTGTCTTTGATGCTCACTGCCAGATGTGGTTCATTCACGACAGATACATGGATAAAATGTGAGGGCCCTGGAGAGACTGAGTTCCCAGCTAACTCTGCAGATACTCCTTCGAGTTTGGAGAGCTTGAACATTTCGAGCGACATCAACTTCTCTCAGAAGCCAGAGATCACCATATGAACTTCTTCCGCCAGATGGGCCGCGATCTTGAACTTCGAAAGAACAACATGAACCCCAAAGTCATCCTCCTTCACATGGTCTACAACATGTCATTACTGCTCATCCATCGGCCATATCTCAGAGAACCAAAAGACAGTCCCGCCCACCAATTATCCATCCGAACAAACATGACCTCCGCTCACGCCCTCGTCAGATTGATCCGCCAATACGACAAAGAAGCCAAGATCGAGAACGCCCCGTTCTTTGCGATACACTGTGTCCTTACAGCTGCTGTGAGCCTGCTTCTGAACGCGACATCCTCCAACACGACCATTCGCAGCCAATCAGTACACCGTTTCCGAGTCTGCGTCGACGCATTGGACAAGATGAGGAGGTGGGCACGGGCGAGACGAGGTCTGTTGCTTCTCAGAGAGCTGGCCAACAGATGGAAAGTTGTTTCCGCGTTGCCCATGAGGCACAGTGTTCCTCTCGTCCCACCGACACAGGAGACTCCCCAGACCGACGACAGTGGTCTGGATTGGGGTATGTTGTTTGCCAATCTCGAAGAGCCTCTCAATTTGGATACCATTGACCTCTCGACACCTACGGGGGAATGGGTATTTCACGAAAGCGACTAGATTAGTATATTCGCTCAAGATGCATCCCGGACCAATTCATTCCGCACTGTTGTCTACCGCACCATGATGGATATCCCTCCGGGGGCTCCTGGCGGAGGACCTGTTCTCGCTCCGCTCGTGTTGATCGATGGAGAGGCTGAGATAAACAGACCAAGTTAGTTCGGACGATTCAGCGCCAAAGCTCTGCTCCTGAGAAGATGAGAAGTGAGATATCCCAATTCTACCTCAAGATCTTCATGTTTCACGAAGGGACTAGAGCAAACATATTCATTCAAGATAACTACCTACGGTCCACTTCAAGCGAGCGCAGCGAGGAAGAGCCCTCCGCTAGGAGCCCCCGGAGGGAACCCCAAGTCTGGTCTAAAGTACTGTGAGATATCCAGTTCTTCTCATTGCCCAAAGAAGATGTCACAAGCTTTCTGCCCCCTCGGGTCACCACTGGCCCATCCAGCTTCGAATCCGCTTTCCAAACACATACAACGGGACGGTGGTCAGACAGATACCCAATGTCAAACCCCCCCAGGTACTGAAAAAGACCATCGGCCCTTTGGTGGCATAATAATCGTTGAGCATAAAGGTGAGGCCGAATGCAAAGGAACTCTTGATAAGCTGGGAAAGTTAGCGCTGACCTTGAAGCCTTGAAGTAGATGAAGACATACCATTGCAAGTCCAAAAGCGCTTCCTGCACGATCCATACAGACATCATTGGTATACGTGACGATACCCGTGCAGCCTGCGCCTACACCAAAGTTGATGAGAGCGAGAAAGACGCAACAGACCATTGTGGATTTGGAATGTTCAATTGCATCGCCGAGGCCAAAAGCTCCAACAGCCATGGTGATTGCAGAAGGCACGATGACGACGAGTCGGAATTCAGGCTCGTACAGACCTCCGTTGAAGGCGGACAGGTAGTGAGCGGCGAGATCAGACATCCAACCAGAGAGCAATGTGCCTAGCGCAGACCCAATGAGAGGAGCAATGCCAATGACGAGACCGACCTGCGTTGCGTCGAGGTTGTATGGTGGAGCGCCGAAGATTTGGTCAGCTACAGTGCCAAGAACAATGACCCAGGTAAAGGTGATTGACCACATGATGCATCCCCATACGACAACAGGGTGTCGAAGCATGAGGATAGGGCTGACGAGACTGGGCAGTAGTTCTTTTGCGCTGGCGAATTGGAGATGCTGGACTCCGCAGATCTTCTTCCATGGGGCGACGACTGGTGCCTCGACCGGGGCGACGACATCCAGGGCAAGCTTTTCGGTCTTTTCGTTTCCAACAACACTCGGTGTTACCTCGTCCCTGTCCCATTTGGTCTCGGGGAGGAAAAAGACCACCATGAGCAATCCCACGGCGAAAGCGACGGCAAGGAACCAAAAGGCCCATCGCCAGCCCATGTCGACAATGAGATACCCGCTGATGACCGGGGCGATGTTGACCGACACAATGACGGCAAAGTTCCACAGACCAACCCTTCGACCTCTCTGGTGAAGGAAGAAGACGTCGTTCACGCAAGACGTGCCAGCGAGGGAAAAGAATGGTCCCATGGCGAGTCCCTGGAATACACGAGCTGCCAGAAGTGACTCGTATCCTTGCGAAACAGCCGCCCAAATGTTGGAGACCACCATTAAGATTGAAGTGAGGACGAAAATGATCCTGCGACCCCAGAGATCTGAAATGATTGCCGAAAAATAAGAGCTCACGCCCAGACCGAGGATGAGCGACCCGTTGAGGAGGGCCACTTTGGAGAGAGGTGTTTGGAAGGTCTGCGACACAATGCCGAAAGCTGGGACGAGAACTGGACCAAGCGCGCCGGTCACGCAGGCACCAAAGAGGAGGGTCAAGAAGTACAGCTCCTTTCGGATTCGTGACATGTTGAGAGGGTCATGGGGAGAATTGGAGGGTGAAGGCACCAAGATGGTGTGCATGCCATCTTGGGAGTCTTCAAGGAAGACAGTCCCAGCAGGCTGCTCAGAAGCATTACTTTCAAGGACGCCGAAAGCCATTGTGGTGAGTATGGTGATCTGCAGGACATGGTCACTATGGCCATATTTATGTCAATATGTCTAGCTACAGTCACGGAAGACTCCCGAATACTCGGAAGCCTTGACAGTACCTGGTTATCATGGCAGCCCCACTCGTTAGCGGCGGATGCGACAGAGCCGCCGCTGATAACACTTGGATCGCGGGGAGGTGGAGATGAACTTTGCGGGGAGACGATAAGGGAGTTTTAGCGGCGGATGTCAGGGTTCCGCTGATGATACGGAGGAGATTGGAAAGAAGGTATTTTTTCAGGTCTTGTACCTGTCTTATATGGCTAAGGCCAGCCCCAATTCACGACTCGTCGCTTCAATGGTCAGCTTCAATTCAGACTCATCATTCGACATGATCGACTCATCTACACAAGACTCTCCAACAATGACAAACCTGTTCATCGCCTCTGAGGACACTCGACATCAAGTTAGAGTCGCCGTCACACAAGCTGAACCCAAATGGCTTGACTTGCAGGGTTCAGTCGACAAGACCTGTGCTTTGATCATCGAGGCCGCAAAAGGAGGTGCTGAGCTCCTGGCATTCCCCGAGTGCTGGGTCACAGGATATCCTGCTTGGATCTGGTAAGCATGGACACCCATGGACGTTCATTAAGCTAACGTCAAAGGGCTCGACCAGTTGATACACATCTCACGAGCCGGTACATCAAAAACTGCATGCGCGCCGATGGCCCAGAAATGGCAAGGATCCAGCAATGTGCGGCCGACAACAATATAACCGTCGTCCTTGGGTTCTCGGAAAACTTCCACAATACTCTATACATCTCACAGGCTATAATCGACTCCGACGGCAAACTACTCGCCGTTCGACGCAAGATCAAAGCTACACACATGGAGAGAACAATCTTTGGCGATGCCTCTGGTGACGCCCTCACGAGTGTTGTAGACACAAAAGTCGGTCGTGTAGGAGCACTCTCTTGCTGGGAACACATTCAGCCCCTACTCAAGTACTACCTCTACAGCCACCGTGAGCAGATCCATGTCGCTGCATGGCCGCCATTGCATCCCTACAAGGACGAGAAGGAATTGTGGTCCATGTCGAGAGAAGGTAAGTCGCATTCACATCTGTTCACACAGTGACTAACGAACAGGCGCTCGCGCATTATCCCAAACATACGCCATCGAGTCACAAGCCTTTGTCCTTCACGCGACATCCGTCATTAGCGAACAAGGGATCAGTCTCATGAACACGGGAGGGGGAGCTGTCATGAGCACCCCGGGAGGAGGTAGCTCTGCAATCTTTGGACCTGATGGGAGGATTTTGACTGAGGATCTGCCTCAATGTGACGAGGGGATTCTGTATGCCACACTTGATTTGGATGAGATTCTACGGTGCAAGAGTTTTGTGGATGTTTGTGGGCACTACAGTCGGCCAGATATGCTGTGGCTTGGGGTTGATCGGGAGGTCAAGAAGCATGTCCAGTAGTTGACGATCACAGATTGCCGTTCAAGGGACGATATTGTGTCATATGTTTGAAGATTGCAATGTTCACTGATTCGGTTGGTATATAATGGTATGTATATCCCTCCGGGGGCTCCT